ATTTGAATTTTTAATATATCATTTTTAGTTGTTTCAATGTTCTGATACATTACCCATACAATAATACCTTTATAATGCAATGTATCACGATTTAAATTTATTGTATTGATATATAAAACCCTAATTTTGTTCAATCTTTGAGTAATTGTTATAATGTTCAATACAAAAGTAATTGATACATAAATTATACATTAATGTATCACTTACATTGTATCAAGTTATAAAATGTATCATGAATATCGTACTGTAATTTGGAGGCATGTGTATCAGAAGATACAGATATATGATACATTTTAGTCGCAAAGTGGTCTTAGTCAGTATGTATCAAGTATATTTTATTATTTTATTGTTGTTCATATTTTTTTCAATGTAGTCTATGAAATACGTTATAAAATAAATTTCAGCCTACTCATTAAGGTTTAGTTCTATTTACAACATGAGTTTTGTAGATGATTTAAAGTTGTCCATAGGAGTTAAAGGTATTGAGTTATTCAAAAATATTATATTTGGGTCAATACCTCAACATCCCTAATTGTAGCTATCAAGGTCAAATTACAAAGTATTTGTTGCTTCTTGAGTTGGAGCAGGACAACACCAATGAGCTTCACATTCGTCATGCAAATGGGTATATTGCATTTTAGTATCAAAGAATTTGTCATCATAACCAGACTGAAATGCAAGGCAATTATGATGATTTTAGATCAGTGTTGTTTAAGGTGCTCACCTTTCACCTTTGGTGACAAGGCGAGGTGAGGCACCATAACCTATCTCCAGCGAAGCGAAGCAATTTAAAAATGGTGAGCTATAGCGACATGGCGAGGCAACTGGCTTCACCCTTTAATCATTTTTTTAAAATGTCTGATTTAATAATTAAAAGCCAAGATTAAAAAAATTGGGGGTATTTTTGCAAACCTTCACCTTCACAAAACCTGCGCTCCTCTTCTCCTCAGTTTTTCGCGAGTCGCGACCCCTTCGAGACCTTTTTCGCGACTGCTGCTCAGCTCAAGTACGAGACTTTTTTCTTCTTCAGTTCTTTTCTTCTTCTTCTCTTCTTCTCTTCTAGTTCTTCTCTTCTTTTCTTCTTCTGCTCTACTCTGTTTTTCAGTTGTAGTGAGTAGTTGAGTGCTATGTTTTCAATGATAGTGACTAGTGAGCAATATAATCATGATGAAGAGGATGTTGATATTCAATATTTGGATAATCTTGTAGAAGAATAGACTTTTAGAGTTCTAGTATTGCTTGTCAATTGTCTTATGAATTATTGAGTCATTCAAGTTCTAGAATTTAGTATCTACTATTAGTTTTTGAATTGAAATATTTGCTAATATATGTTATTGCTATTAAGATTTTGGATATTTATATATGTAATAAAAAAAATTAATTTTTGGTATTAATTGGTGCCTCATTTCAAAAAGGCGATCCCCTCGCCTCGTGGCGAGGCAGGTTCTTGTTGCCTTTTGTCGCCTTTCGCTGTCAAAAACATTGTTTTAAATATTCAGAATTCACTACGAGCAAGTTTTTTAAAAGGTACTTCCCTGGCGCAAAACAAGTGTAAGGAAGGATGTTGATTCAACGATATTAGATAGGTGAATGACATAACAATCAAGATGTCGTTCAAATGGCAATTCTATACTTTATCCACATATTCATGTTTTCGCAACTTGGTGATACACCGATATCTATTGACAATTTCATAACGGTTGAAGATGGGAGGTACAGACAGTTTCCATGGGGACAAATAGAATGATTTCATAATGGTTAAAGATACGAGGTATGGACAGTTTCCATGGGGACAACTAGCATTCTCCAAGTTGATGAGACTGTTTGTCCAACAATTATTCCATCATTTTTGTATCGCTCATAACTCATCTCGCTTTCCCAAATGCCTGAATGTCTCAACAAAATAGACATATTCATCATGTATCAGCTATTGTTTTTGACTTTTTTTTAATCATTACGATTTGGGAGAGATATGAGAGAAGAAAATTTTAAATTTGAATTGTTTGAAGCTATTAGGATTTGGGAGAGATTGACATTAATTTGACTTGCGTGATTTGGGGAACTAACATTTAATTTTACGTTTAATATTCTTTTAAATCTTAACAGACAAGTTGTCTAATATATTATATTTAATGTAGTCGGGTAGTTTGCTATGTATCTAGATGCATTATTTTGAGGGATTTTGTAAATTGAAAAAAGATAGAAATAGAATGTAATTTGCTTCATACACTGTGTGATTCCTAAAAAATTTACGAAGTTAAATACTCTGAAAATTTTGATTTTGTAAATATTTTTATTTTTTATTTTTGTGTTGATATGTTTCTAATAATCTAAATACTAAGTTGATATGTTAAAACAGAATCCTAATATTAGCTTTCAGTATTAAGTTATACGTATTACTAAAGTATAAAACCTACAACATATTTTAAAAAGGCTAAACAAATCCAAAAATCTATAAAATAAAAAAGATTTATAGTAAATCAAAGGAATGGCCCATTTTTTCATCTCTCAAAGTTTTCTTTGCATTAAAAGATAGTTTATTTTTATGTCGTACATATTAATTTGATTATAATTTTTTTATTGATCATTGAAATTCATTTTTTTAAAATTCTTATTTTATGAAATTATATTTGATTAAATGAATATCATCTTATTTTGCAAGATTGAACGAGAGAGGAATGTGCTAAAGAGGTTGCGACATGCTTTGTAAATTATATTAAAAGTAGAGTTAATATTTTTAATACTAGGTATTAGATTGATCTGTGAATTTAAAATTTAATTAATTAGCATAAATTTCAATTCAACACACGTCTTATATGCTATTAATCTTCATTATACGAAGGAGAAATTGTTAGAATAATGTTTGATGTCTTTGAAGTATATATTCTCATTGCACATAGATTAGGATAAAATTTTGTTAGATATATATATATATATATATATATATATATATAAAGGAGAAACATAGAGAAGGTGATGTGGCACCTCTATATGATCTCCATTCCCATTTTTCTTTTTCTTTTTCTTTTTTTTTTGTCCCTTTTTCATATTTAAAATATTTAATTTATTGTGAAAGTATTATTAATTTATTATAAATGAATATTATATTAATGAAGAAACATTTATGTATATCAAAGACTCTTCACATGCCAAATATTTTTTTATTTTTTATATTATATAAAAAAGAAAAATGATAATCACTACTCCTCCATTTATTTTATTCTTTAATGTACAAAATTGAATGTCTAAAAATTTACTACTCCACTCAATTTCCATAATTTGAAAAATTAAAAGTCTCATCAGTTTTTTTTTCCTTGTGGGTATTTTCTTATTATATAAAAAAGAAAATGACAATTATTATTCCTCCATTTATTTGATTATTTAATCTATATATATATATATATATATATATATATATCATAAAGCTAAATGTAGACAAGGTGATGTGACGCATATCTATGATCTTCATTCCTATTTATCTTTTTTCTCCTTTTTTTTGGGCATTTGATAGTTTTTCTCCTCATTTTTAATGTAGTTAATATTTTTATAATTGTTGAATAATCAATGTTTTATTGTAATTCTCCTCATTTTTAATGTAGTTACTATTTATATAATTGTTGATTAATCTGTTTTATTGTAAATATGTTATATTAATGTAGATGTCCATAATTTCAAGATGTAATTCCACCATTATGTGTAATAAACTCACACCTCCACCACCTCCTTTTTTATCGTCCACACCCCTTAATCTTCACATTCTCAAGAACTAATGTCATGTTTATTGTTATCCTTTATATGTCTTTATGTAACAATATAAATACAGGTCTTGAAGATTATGTTATGCACTTGAAGATTTAAGAAACACTTGAATATACTTGGAAGAATAAGAAAACTTTTCTATCTTATCACTCTACATTTTTTGTCTATTTTTTTTTTTGATGACAAGGGAAACTCGCAGCTGCTACCCTTTGGGTGCGCATAGGTAAAGCCCCCGCTCCTATGCAATAGCTCGCAAACCACATAGGAGAGGTAACCCGCACTAGGCATGCCCGGTGCGACGAGCTCGACCCAGAAGGCAAATCCCATGTTATCGCTGGCAAGGGATTTCGAACTTGAGACCTCCAACATGGAAGTCCCAAGTCCAAACCACTGGGCCACCCCGAAGGGTACATTTTTTTGTCTATTTTCTTGCCTATATTATTACTTCTTTAGCTTAATTTGAAATATGTTTTTATTCTTGAATAGTTACGTCTAATTGCATTTACCTTCTAGTCTAGAAAAGATGTATTAATACTTTGTAACTGTTCAATGTAATTATATATGATGCAAATTCATTGTCTCCCAATAAGTATGAGATTAGTTACAAACGAATTCAAAGAGAAAAATTTGACTTCTGCTATTAAATATTATTTTGGTTATGAAGCTGCATTTTCAAGGTAATAATTTGTCCCCACTTCTTTCTTTTTTAGTTGTTCTATAAGTAGTATAAATATGCAAAGTGTGAAAAATGTTTCGGAGTTTCAAAAATATAATACTTTTCAAGTACTTTATTTTTTATTTTCTTCTTTCAGTTTGTCTTTGATTCATTTAGTTGAAGAAAACATTAACAATGGTTTAAATACACTTCTATTACTCAATAATAATTCATATTAGTTAGTTTAAATTAAAATATTATTATATTTTAAAATCCACGCAACGCGCGGCACATTTGCTTAGTCAAGTTAACAATAGAAACTGATTTTGAATACTTTATTTTATATTTCTTGTGATAAAATAGTAAAGATTTAATTTTGACCTAACAATAGGACCTTTAAATACTTAACATGAAATATGTTTTATCCTATTGTACTCATTCTACTCCCACAATCCATTATATGCAGAGGCCTATAAATTCTTTAACACTAGACTAATTAAAAAAATTTGAAATGTATATATATTATTATATGTTGAACCCATAGAAATGGGAACTTGGTAGGACTCAAAGGCATACCTCTAGTAAAATAAGTTTTAGTGCTTTAGCATATAAGAATCTGGTGGAGCACTAGCAAGAAAACCTCAAAGCAAGGCAATGAATCTGATGCAATGCTAAAAACTCAAGTTATGACTGTCTTTCTTCATCTTGTAAATTCATCTCATCACATTACCTTTCTCTGTATCACATTTATAAAGTGGATGATCAGAAAATTTCAGATACTATTTGGGCACCAACCATGGTACATACGAGACAACGTTCAAGGATGATTGATTGCTTGAATAAGTTTCAAGGAAGTGTCAAGGCTCAATTGTCTGAAAGCAAGAAACATGCAGAGTCCATTAAAGGAGAAATCATTATTCAACATACTCATGCAAAGTCAGGCCTTGCAAAACCTATTCGTATTCAATTATATAGTCTGAATGACTCAAGTGAGCTAACTTGATATATATATATATGTGTGTATAACTATGACAACTAGTTTTTGCTATCACTTACGATAGACTTGCTTCTGTTCCTTCTTCCATTTGGATAGGTACGGGGAAAGGAAAGCTGAGTCAAGAAGTGCATCTGAATCATGGGAAACGTATCCACAACAAGCTTAATGGCAACACATGTATTAAGTATGAATTGACATTTGAGGCTGACCGAGATTTTGGATTTCCAGGAGCTTTTGTCATCTGGAACCAGCACAAAGACAAGTTTTTTCTTCAATCACTATCTCTCCAAGTTGAATTCAAACAAATGGTTCATTTTGAATGCAATTCTTGGATATATCCCAATCATTTAATGCAAAAGGAAAGGATTTTCTTCTCAAATACTGTGAGTAAAGCATTTCTCATAACATGTAGTATCTTTCAGCAACAGATATGTAGTGTCTTTGACCATCTTATGATTTTTAGTGTTATCTTCCAAGCCAAACACCAAATGGTCTGCTGCAACTGAGGAAACAAGAACTTGAAACATTGAGAGGAGATGGAACTGCAGGGAGAATTAGAGAATGGCATCGGGCTTATGACTATGATTTCTATAATGATCTCAGTGATCCTCAGCGAGGGGAAAGACCTATTTTAGGAGGTTCAATTCACTATCCATATCCAAGGAGAGGAAAAACTGGTGAACCACATATTCACTCAGGCAAGAAATTTTCTCCCTTCTAATATAACTTTCTGGTCACAGAAATCATACGGACTGTGTTATTCTTCTTCTTAAACTGTTACTCTTCAAACAGAAAATGTGAAGGGGATAATGTTCAAGATAGACAGCTGCATCCCTCCGGATGAAAGATTTAGCCCCCAGAAACAATCAGAGTTTGTGAAGAAAGTGATCCAGGCAACTTTGCACTTTGTAGTTTCTCAGGGGGGTTCTGTGTCAAGAGAAGAAACCAACCAATTCAAGTCATTCAATGAGATCAAAGAGCTATTTTCGGGGAAGAAAAGCCAAGGGGTGGAAGAATGGATGATAAAGAAATTGGAAGCTCATCTACCAAAAGAGATTTTGAAGGGGATTGGACAAGGAATCAAGGATTATACTACAAAGTTTCCAATGCCTCAGTTATTTGCAGGTGATGCTGGTTTTATGAATATAAGGTCATTGAATCTTCCTTCTCCAAGACAAGTTTTGTTTCATGTCTGGATTATCTCATGCACAGGGAACGAATTGGCGTGGAAGGATGATGAGGAGTTTGGGCGCCAGATGCTTGCAGGAATTAATGCAACTGTAATTCAGTGTTTGCAGGTATGATGTGTATTCTTAACAGAATTATGATAAGCGTAACCAGAAGCTTCATATTTTCTTACTAGGGAATGCAAATATAGATCTAATACTAACGATATGTGCTTTCTCATGAAGATAATGAATGAATTTTATGAGAAGAGAGAACACATAAAGATCTCCCTAAGCTAGTCTCATATTCAAAAAAACATCTAAACTTTGCAACAGTCCTATGCACCGACTGCCCACCCCAAAACCCTCAATCCCCGGACTTGTTCGAAATGAACCTATTACCACACAAACGAAACAACCAGATTTTCGGTATACTGTGGTACACCCACTGGCAAACAACAAGAACACTCCCCCTCAGTCCCAAACAAGTAGAGTCAGCTAAATGAATCTCCACTTCTCCATTTAAGCTCAACTCATGTTATCATCCTACCAATTAAAATAAAAGTGAAAAATAAGTTATATATATATAACAGTAATAATAACAATAATATTATAAGTCCACTAACAAGACTAAAACCTATGCCCAACTAGTATGCAGCAATAGCTATATACCTCCTGTATTCCCATCTAGTATATATCAGACTTCATAAAAAAATACCCCTTTATCATATTTTTCTTTTTATTCATATTTTTTCTTATCTTATCCCCCAGATTCCGTCTTCTTCTTCCAAGACACCCCCCTAAGCAGTTACTACCACCACTACTACTTTTTTATATCAGACGTCCCTCCCCCAAAACCAATTCCTTCTTCATCCTTTATTCTTTATTCACTAAGAGAGGCACCCTCAACTCCCCCATTTCTTCTTCTTACCCCAAAACCTGATTATTATTTTTTCCCATATCTTAGATGGCATGAATTTCCTATAAATGTCATGTAAGAGTTTGGTTGATGATCGTGTGGTGTTAGAGGAAGAACCAGAAAAGCATGTTGTCTGTAAATTTGCTTCATTTGCTTCCTTCTCATAGTGTCTTGATTTAGTATTGACAAGTTACAAAAATAAAAAAATTAGCAAAGGGGAAAAAAATACAAAAAAAGAGATGAAAAGATAAAGAATTTGTGGAGTTTCAAAGAGATGATATTTTGATTGCATATCCTTAATATATTTTACTGACGGACGTTCCCATCAGAAACCTGAGATTTCCAATAGAGAGGTCAAAAACTGTTTCGAACAAGCACATGTTCGATAGATTTCGTTGAAAATATGAATTTTAGTAACAATTTGGTGGAACATGTGAAGTTATGGTAGGTGATGGAGATGAAACTTGGGGGCGGCGCAGGGATGGGGGGGATGAAGCAGTTGGGGGTGGTAATCTGATGAGGAAAACCAGAAGGAGTTGGAGGAGTGGATTTTGTTGGTGCTACACTGGTGGTAGGGTAGGTGGAGGTGGTCGGTGGGAGAAGAGAAAAAGGAAATGAGGAGTTGAAAAATATAAGAAATTGTAAATTACAATAATTTAGGAGCTTTTCACGCACACTGAACGGTTGTGCAAGCACTGCAAATTCCACATGGATTGGAAAGGGGTAGAAATACCACTTTGAACAACTATAGAAGGTACATAGGCCCTCGGCAAAATTAAGTGTTTTTTTTTTAAAAAAAAATCATGGAGTAGTTTAAGGGAGTCTTTATGTATTCTCCCTTATGAGAAATAAGAGGATTAGATGGATAATTATAAAACAACACATACCTATTTATGAGTCCACATCTTATATTAACCAAAAAATAAGATTTCAGAAGTGTTGTTTCTAGTATTTGATTAATAGATTGTGTTTGACTAATCCCCTTGTACTATCTAAATTTGCTCAAGATTGTACTCTGACAAAACTTGTAGCCCATTCATATCCTTACCATTAGCAAATCGTCTCATATTTCCCCTTCCATTAATGGAGTTCCAACATGAGGGGGTTGGGGTGCACGTACACAAATTTTCTTTGAGAAAATGAGTCCAAATTTACCCTACTTCTGACTATGTTTTAAAATTACTCTTGGTTGTATCTCAGTAACAGTGTGTTATAAGTTTCAAATCTTGTTGGATGTGTTTTGACATCACAGGCTTTTCCACCAAAAAGCAAGAATGGAATATGGAGTTCAATAAGACGATCACACATAGAACATAACCTTGATGGCCTCACTCTTCAAGAAGTAAGTATGTTTAGACTAATTACACGGTCATTTTGAAGGAATTTAGCATAGAGTATACCCATGACACATCATCCAAAGACCACGATGGAGGAAAAGATAATATCCATGAATGTTGCTGGAAAGAGCTTCAACAAACATAGAAAATTTCATAAAAAGTTCAGTTCAATTTTGCAGGCAATGAACCAATGGAGGATTTTCATCTTGGACCACCACAACTATCTCATGCCATTTTTAGGAAAAATAAACAAAAATGATGTGTGTGCCTATGCGTCCAGGACTCTACTATTCTTAAAGGACGATGCCACGCTAAAGCCACTTGCTATAGAACTAAGTTTACCAGGGCTTTCACCTGGCACTGAGATTCACAGGGTATTTCGTCCAGGGGGCAATGGATCAGAGGCAACCTTATGGCAGTTTGCTAAAGCTCATGTGGGAGTAAATGATTCTGGTTATCATCAGCTAATCAGCCATTGGTAAAATTACTAAAAATCATGTAGCAATTGCCATGTCATTGAATTTCCAAATTTGACTACTTCCATTATTCATGGGTATATGAAATTGTAGGCTAAAAACTCATGCTGTTGTAGAGCCATTCATTATTGCCACCAGAAGGCAGTTGAGTGTTATGCACCCGATTCACAGGTTATTGAATCCTCACTTCAAGGACACTATGCATATTAATGCATTGGCTCGAAGTACTGTCTTAAAAGGTGGAGGAATCATTGAGAAGACCCTTTATTCTGGTGAAGTCTCTATGGAGCTATCTTCTTCACTCTATAAGGAATGGAGATTTGATGAACAAAGCCTCCCTGGTGATTTACTGAAAAGGTATGCTAGCAGGAGATATGAACTGGACCTAACAAATTGTTTGGTATACGGAATATGTGTCTTCATGAAATTATTTTTCAATGTTAGTCATCTCAAATTGTTGAAAATGCTTTCTCCAAGAAAAAATTTCCATCAAAAGAAAGAGAACTACTTTTTCCACTTATAGGTGAAAATCGTCTTCTTTTTAGCTAAGTTGCGCGGACTCTTCACTTTCAATGCCGCACCCGTGTCGGATTCTCCAAAAATACACTACTTTTGACGAATCCAACACGCACCCATTGACATTTTAGAAGAGTCCGAGCAACATAGCTTTTTAGTGATGTCCCACCTCTAATGGAAGTCATCATCTTTTAAAGATACCCCCAGTTCTTACTTCATCATCTTTTAGAGATATCCCAATTCTTACTCCAAATCCATGCTTGAGGCCAACAACTAGACACTATTACTAACTTTTCATACTCAGAACTATCACTAGAAAACACTATCTTCATACGCTATCTTCCACCTTGTATATTAGTACCATATATCACCTAATTCTATATTAAAGCATACATGACAAATGATCCAGAATGATTCCCAAAGTAAATATGAAAACATTTTCCTCCTTTTTTTTTGGATAAAATAAATAATTGAAAACATTTTTCTCCATCACCCCTAAATCTGCTTATGTACATTATAGCTACTATTACCACTACAAAATAACACATTAACAAAACTCGCAGAGGTATGGCTTTCCATAACCCAGATTGCCTGGCTGGCGTTCAGCTTCTCTTTGAAGATTATCCATATGGTACAGATGGACTAGAAATTTGGGTAGCAACCAAGAGATGGGTAAATGACTATTGTCTACATTTTTACAAGGATGATAATTCCCTGAGATCGGACCATGAGATCCAAGAATGGTGGTCGGAGATTAAGAAAATTGGCCATGGAGACAAGTGCAATGAAACATGGTGGTACCCAATGACTACTCTCTCTGACCTAGTAGAGGCTCTCACAACCCTTATATGGATATCTTCAGGTCTTCATGCTTCAGTTAACTTTGGACAATATGAATACGTGGGTCATCCACTAAATTGCCCAATCAAATGTCAGAATTTCATCCCAATGGAAGGGACAAAAGAGTTTGCAGAGTTTCTCCATGACCCAGATAAGTTCTTCCTCAAGATGTTACCCAACAGGTCTGAAATCACCCTATATATGGCACTATTAGAGGTACTCTCGGCGCCTACATCTGATGAAGTATACTTGGGTCAACAACGATCTCCAAATTGGATAGATGATGTATGGGTAAAGCAAAGGTTTGAGCAATTTGCCGAGGAACTGAACGAAGTGGATAAAAGGATAGTGGAAAGAAATGCAGATCCCAAACTTAAGAACAGACAAGGCCCCTCCAATATACCATACAAGCTTCTGCGCCCTGCGGTCTCCAATGTTAAATCATGTCAGGGTATCACATCTATAGAGATACCTAATAGCATATCCATGTGAATCACTATTATAATAAGGCCTCTAGTATAAGAAAGTGTAAATACTTACAAAAAATAATAAAGGACAGACGGAAGAGCCTTAACCATCTCCTAATGCTTATAGTTCACACAGCAAGTACTATTTTGACAAATTAAAGTGAAATAAAAAATCTTAAACTCCAAATAAACATTGAGAGCATTTTATCCATGAGAAACACAACCACATGAAGAACATTTTTCTTTTTATTTTATACAGAATAAGGTTACAGGATTGGACATCTTGAAAGATGAGTCTTTAGCTAAAAAGTAGCTCTTAAGTCAAAAATAAGAAGTCAAACTGAAATGACTTTTAAGTCAAAAAATAAAAAGTAGGGGGAGACCTACTTTTGGTTTTTGACTTATTTTAAGTCATTTTTTGACCTTGCCAAACACTTCCTAACTTATTTTAAGTCATGTTTGACTTATTTTAAGTTATTTTTTATATTTGCTCAACACTTCCAGAAGTCAAAAACTGACTTAAAAGTTGGTTTGACCAACTTTTAAGCCAATCCAAACACCCTCTAAATCAAGGGTAAAATTATCTCACAAAAGTGTAACCTGCTCAACTCCTCAGGCTTGAGTGGTTTGGCTAAAAATATATTCATAGATGGGTCGACTTGGGTTTTGCCGAAATTGACCCATAAAGCTAGGATCAACCTGAACCAACTGAACTGCACAAATTCAGCTCTCCACCCCGACCCCCACCCCACTCCACACACAACAACAAGCAAAATATTCCTAAACAAATGAGCCCAAATGCACATATGCATGAGCTAGAACAGATAGAACTCAAAATGAAGCATTGCAAGCACCAAATCCATAAGAAAATCAACCACAGCAAAAGCATTTTGCTATTTTAGTTTTACATAAGAGCCATGTGGTTGGAGAGCTGGGAAGATGAATCTTCTGCTGGAACAGTTCTAGCTTGTCTCTATCTATAGAAGCTACATCTCTGTTCATTCAAAACCTGTGAATTGCATCCTAGAGCCAATTCATCAACTTATCATTGCTACATTCTCTGTTGAGAAATCCACATGCCAGTATAAACAGTTGTAATTTCCCATTATTCAGTTATTGCACTGAAATGATAGAACGAAAAGCTATAACCAAAATGCAACATCATGTAGCAGTAACATAAGAATGTGATGCGACCTTCAGGGTGGAGGGCATTCAAATTTCGGCTTTATTAATGCTCAATCATGGCATTGGGCTCACTATTTAGTGGAAGCACCGGCCTAGCAGAGCAAAAGGTGCTGCATCTACTATAGAAGGATTTCCCAACACCATATCAGCAATCATTTCAGCTGTTCCTAGCGCCTGGTAAGAGAAAGGATTGCCCACAAATCAACTTAGAAGAATATAAGAACTCGGAAAGTCAGAAAGAACAGCTGACTTCAAATTAAAATGAATGGAACAATTTTTATAAGAAAATGATGTCTTTCAGTTTATCTGCAGAAGCAGATCAGAGAAAAATACCAGCGACAGTCCTTCTCCTTCATGCCCCGCAGCAAGAAAGACGTTTGAAAATCCAGGAACAAGCCCAATGACAGGCTTTCCATCAGGAACTAAATCAAAAAATAGTCAAGCGCATGAGCATGCTTGCAACTTTGGCATTATTTTAGGAGTTCAGACATGATTGCTACAAGACAAGTTTCTGGATTTCACTTACTGTAAGGTCTCAGTCCTACTCTAACTTCTCTGCTTTGACGCAAATCTTCAAGAGACTCATGTCTTAAAGCAGGTATGAACTCTCCAACCCGCTTCCATATGTGGTTGATGACAGATTCATCTACCTCTGTGTTAAACCCAACAAGTTGTCGGCTACTCCCTGCAAGAAAAGATCTTGGTGAATAGACATGAGTGAAGATTTATATAAACCACACTTACCTTCAAGGATTCGGATTTATAAAAAAATAAAAAAAAAATAAAAAAATGATGAACAGAAAGAAAGCCTAGCTGTCAAGCCATGTGATTAATTGATTACAAATTTTCACCAAGTTATGAAGATGACATAAAAGGTAGCACAAAATGGATATTTCCTTTTCCTTCCATTACAATTTTATTCAATATAAATGGACTACCAGATACCATACAATGGGACAAGTGCCTGCAGCTACCAAAGTTACACAGCTTGAAAGGTTGATCCTTTTTCCGAGAAAGCACGTCTGTTTAGCTTTTTAAAGGAGTTTTAGCGGAAAGTTATTTCAGAAAAAAAATTTCAATGGAGAGAAGCTTTGAAGGTATATTTCCATTTAAAAGCTCTTCTTCCACTCACAAAAGACTCACAAATCCTCAATGAACTACGACTATTCAAACACAATTTTCTTTTGCACAAAGTTATCCCCGAAAATATGTTTTTAAACAACTTTGGAAAAAGTTGTCTAAACGGCTCTAGATATCATGAATAGTATATCCGAGAAGTTAGCCAAGACATGCAACGAGATATATATCCTAGTTGGATTTACCATACCTTCAAATAATATATGAGAAATTAGGCAAAGATCTATGTTAAAAATACAAGTTGTAGACCTAAAACAAATAAATAAAATAAAGTGCCACCTCTTTAGTAAATGTAAGCTTAGCTAAAGCTAAGTTGCGTGGACTCTTCATTTTCGATGCCGCACTCGTGTCGGATTCTCCAAATATGCACTACTTTTGGCGAATCCGACACACACCCCTTGACATTTTTGAAGAGACCGAGCAACATAGAGCTAAAGATAGAACACACCAGAGGAAAATATCCATATAGGTGATATCTACTAATGGGAATAGGTTTTAGCCTTGATAGTACATTGATTTTGAACCTATTGCTTTTGTAGGAGTATTTGACCTTATTGTGGATTTTTATGTAAGTAAAAATATAGAGAACTCTTCACAATAATAATAATAATAATTGCAACTAATTACATACTTATTTTCCACTTTTAGTTTTTGGTATGATAAAGACACAAGTTGAGCTTAAATTAGTAAACATGGTCAGTGAGCCGACCCTGACTTGTATGGGGATGAGGCTTCGTTGTTGTTGTCACATCTTTAGCAACTCAAGCTTTTAGATAATATAGTTTATACAATTCAAGTGGTCTTTGAGTTCAATCTCACTATCACTCGTACTAATATATTTCCACGTACTTGGCCCAACAAAAAGATAAGTTTGCCCTATTTAATAGTTTAAATATTTAGATGAGGCAATTTAAACAGTAGATGTCTACATAAGGATCATCCACAGTAGGTAGACGTTCTTTCCAGCATTATAACCAGTTTCCTTAGAGATAGTGCATTGATTTGGCTATCAACAGTCCTTTATCGTAAGAAAATAAGCTTATACTGACAGAAAAAAGAAAAGAAATAAGACCAATTGCAACAACTAACACATGAACTTGGAAAAAGAAACAAAAAACAAGTAACAAGAAGAAAATAGTTCTGGTCAGTGGATGCCATTTGTGCCATCATCTGAAAGTGTCAACCACATTTTTTTTGCAATGCCCTTTTGTAGCAGGCATCTGAAACTGTTTCCTCACTATGTTTGGTCTACACTGGGGCTTTCCTCATATCAAGGCAGCCTACTCTAGTTGGAATTTTTGGAAAGTTGATAAAACCATCAAGAAGAACTGGAAAATGATTCCAGCAGTAATATTTTGGTGCGTCTTGAATGAAAGAAATCGCAGATGCTCTGATGGGATTTCAACTCTAAGCTATACTCTAAAAACTAAATGCCTAGTCAATCTGTTTAGTTGGAACTTATTGCTCCTGTTAATAGTGTTGACAGTTTTTGGGATCTTGTTAGTTCTTTGATCCAAGCTTACTCATGTAAGGGAACTAACTCTCTTTCTTTGTACACTTTTGTCATTAGCATCACCCTGATGCTCTTTCATGAAATCCTTTTCTTCATAAAAAAAAAAGAACGTTGTTTGGTTGGGAACAAGTTATCCCAAGATTAATTATCTCGGGATCAGCTACCCTGGGATAAGTTATCCCACCACGTATAAGCGATAACTTATCCCATCACGATGGTATAAATGGTGGGATAAGTTATCCCAAACTTGGCAACCAAACAAGACACCAAAATTTTATCCCTGGACTATTTTTTTATCGGACTATTTATTCTTATTCCTCACACCAAATGACCCCTTAATATTTTGCATTACAAGGGAGGAAAAAAGGTGCTATGGTGCTTGGAGCTACCCACATCTAGCTGAATTGGGTTAGACATACTGGTTGTGGGTAAAACACAGGAGGATTACATAATTCAACAACAGGATATAGTTTACCAAGGACGAGATTGCCTGACGCATCCATGGTTGCCGTCATTGAAACAGACAAATCTTGTGCATTATAGACAGGCCCTGAATCAGATGCAGTAGCTTTAAGGGTTGCCGACTGATGCTTGGTATACCCTGCCTCCATAATTCCATGATTCAGCTTGAACGACTTGAAATTCTCTATCACAAGCAGGTGACCCTGTTTACAGAGGCAAAATTTAGCTTCACTAGTAAATTAATATCAAATATATAAGGTTGAATCTATTGAAAAGTAGGCACAAGAAAAGGTCTCATGCGAAAAATTTATGACAGGGAGGTAGATCCATACATAGAAAGATTAATCAAATTGCCATCATGCATTACATGCTTCTCTTCTGGCCGTCGGTTTTCACCTTTTCTAAATTGATATTCACTTAATGACTTCCCTATTTGAGGTGGATAGGTTTAGAAGGGAACTCTTGAAAATAATGTACATCCAGACACAATTGAGAATCTTGGATTCTTTTAAGGCTGATTTAGACAGACAGACAGACAGACCATTAAGAGCTTCAAATTCTTCTAACTGCTGAGTGTTTGTATCTTGAGCTTGTAAAACAATATCTTATTTGAAGTTAATAACCAGCTAAAGGGATAAAGGAGTGGATTAATACAGATTCCATGAACTGAGATAAGAAGTCATGCAGCAACTTTTGATTTCATTTCTCTTCTCTCTTTTCATACTCTTCCTTTTT